TCCACGGTGCGGGGGGCGGGGACTGGCGTAGGAGCCCTGGGCTCGGCCCCGTAGGGTCTCCCATAATGGGAAGCAGCCATGCGGTGCCCCGTCCTCTGCCGGATGCTCTTCTTCATCCCCAGAATCCCCATGCTTACAAGTTTTAAGCAGCTGCTCTTCACAGACTCACCAGACAAGCCAAAATTCAATTTTCTGACTCAGGTTGGAGCAGGGAGAGGCAGCACCGTCAACGCCGGTTTCTTTCTCCCCTCCAGGTTTCAAGTAAGAAGAGCTTGAGTCTGAAGGAGCTGACGGAGGAGCCCGATGCCGTGTCGCTGGTGAGGGTCAGGGCGGCTCTGGGAGAGGGAAGGACCCCCTCGAGCTCCCGCTGTGGGCAGGAGAGCAGCCCCCGCCCCCCTCGGTGGGTGGAACTCCTTCCCAGCACGCTGAGGTTCGGCCAGTAGCCCCTTTGAAGGACGCGGAGTTGGTCCTCTCCCCTCGCCACTGACGAAGGTCACGCGAGGATGCGGCCGTCGCCATCGTAGCTCGTCCTCTGGGATCCTCGTACCCTGACTTGGCAGAAGCGGATGGGTCAAGAGGAGGATTTGGACAGCCCGGGGCTAAGCGCGAGCCAGCGACCCAGCCGGTTGGTCTCGGGGGTCCATTTATAGATGGAAAAACTTGGGAGCGATGTGGAAAACGCCGCTGCTCTGCTCCCGCTTGGCTGATGGTGTTCGCAGCCGCGAACGCGGAAAGCAGGCTGGAAATGTGGTTGAATTATCCAAAAACACCGTGGGATGAGTGGGATGGCTTGTAGCTGGGAGGCTGGAGAGGGAGAAGCCTGCCGAACCGCAGCGTGACCGAGGGAGCGCAAGGGGCCGCGTGCTGCTGCCGCGGAAGCATGGCAGGATCTGTCCCCAGCCAGCAGGATGTGTCCTCGCCGTGAAATGGGGGTGGCCCGTCCCTGTCTCCGCTTGGTCACGGAGCTGCTGGCGCTGCGGCCACGCTGGGCTGTATGGGGACGCTGAGCAGGGCACGGGGTGTCCCTCGTGGGCCAGTGGCCCGGCATGCTGGCCCGGGAGGTGACAAGTGGGATGTCCCCCGTGGGCTAGTGGCATCCCAGGAGCTGAAAGCACTTTTCGTGGGGTGAATCGGGAGCGATCCAGGCTGGTTGCATCTCGCAGTGCTTCTGAGGGACGTAGCCCTTCAGTGGCTCTAGCCCCAGGGGCTCTCTGGTGGGGGATCCCCTCTGCTGGCTGTCGCCCCGCTGGATTCGGTGCCTTGCCAGGGTGCGCTGGGACTGTGATGCTGAGCCACAGCGCGGGCGAGGGGCTCTTGGAGGGTGATGGGTGACCGTGCTGAGGTTCAAACCAAGGGGTGAAGGAGGCAGCGGTCGGTGTTTGAGGCAGGTGTGGGGTGTGTGGGCAGGTCCTGCCTATGGCAGTAGGGACCTGTGTCCCCACGGGGCCATCGTGGAGGACCAGCTCCCCCTTGGGATGATGTTTTGGATGCTCAGTGGAGATGCCGTAAGACTCGAGTCCAAATCTGGCCCCACCACGTCCTTGGCGCTGCTGGTGTCATGGCAGAAACCACTGCCGGCGGCACGGCTCACGGGGGCTGTTCTCGCAGGAGGTGATCGTCCCCGAGGGCAAGTGGAGGAAGATGTCACCCGCATCGCTGTCACTGTCTCTGCCGGACACCGACTACCAGTGCATCCACCGGACTTCTGTCAGCAGCCTGAGTGCCAAGGAGAGCTCCTTCACCTCTGAGGAACCTCTGGTTTCGGGTGAGGGCTGCGTCTGACCCAGGGATGCGGGTTTGTGCCCTGCCCCGCACACGGTGCTGGGTGTGCAGCTCCATAAATACACGTTCATCCATCCTCTGCTCTCGCGGAGGTGATTTCTGCCTTGCAGATGACAGGGTTGAGGCTGGGAGTGAGTGATGGGGTCCTGGGGATGGGATGGGGTCGCCTGGCTGCGGGGTCTGAGCCTTCGACGTGTGCCTGTAGCACCACGCAGGCAGCGTTAGCCCGCGAGGGAGGAATATTTGATGCTTGAAGGCTCGTGGCTGCCAGAGGAGCACGAGGATCTGCCCAGCGTCGCCGTGCTGCTGACTCTGGGCTTGTCTTTCAGAAAGTGCAATCAACACCGAGGAGGAGCTGGAGGTGGAGCAGAGCTGTGTGGCGGAGCTGAGACCCTCGGACTACCAGCTCCTAAAGATCTTCATCGTGCTGTAAGCGTGCCGAGGGCGGTCACGGCGTGGGGAGGATGAGGCAGGCTGCGACGGGAATGTCTGTCTCAACTGCTGGCTGCTGAGTGCTTGTTCCTCTGCTCCCAGCATCTGTCTCCTGGTCGTGTCCTCCTCGTACCTGGCATTTCGCATCTTCCGTCTGGAGCAGCAGCTCTGCTCGCTGAACCGGGACTACCTCTCCCGCGGGCACAGGAGGTGAGGGACCCTCGGGGACGCTTCAGGGCAGCGGAGGACCTGAGGGGTGTGACACAAAGAGCACTGGCTCTGCTCCGTGACACGTCCCGGGGGTGCTTTGCACCTTACCCTGCGCCCGCTGCTGGGCTGGTGCCACCCCCACACGGTAGATGATCCCACCAGCTGCTGGGATGGAGTTCGGTTTGAGTGATCAGGGAGAGCTCTGCTGTCTCCAAGGCTTTCAGCCCTGGGAAAAGGTTTCCTTGCAGGTTTAGGGCTGGTGCCCCCGTCGTAGGAAGCAGCAGAGCATCTTGGTGGAGCTGGGCTGCACCCTGGGGCTAACGTGACAACTGGCACCAGCAAGGGGTGGACAGGAGTGGGTTGCCTTGGGTTGGCGACCTTGGGGGTCTCCCTCCTGGTGCCCGTGGAGCCTGGGCACCGGGCCGGGGTATGGTGCCTCCATGGCCGCTCGTCCTGTCTTACCCTGCTCTCACCCCGCTTGCAGGTGACCGTTGTCCCAGCGCTGGCCGAGGATGGACGCCGAGATGGTGGCATCCTGCGTACGACTCCTGGTGCTGCGTCCTCCTGGCCGTGGCTGTTGCACATGGCCCGGCTTTCCCTCGGCTGGTAAAATGGGACCAAGTATCTTCTCTCTTCCTACCGACACCTGCTCCCAGCAGGACCTCCAGGCCAGCTCATGGCCACCGGTGCCAACTCCCCGTCCCACTGGAAACCCGTTTTCACCGTGGGACACTGCTGCGCTGTGGCACCGGATGATGGCTTGGGGCTGCCGAGCGGTTGGACCTCCCCTTAGGACTTGCTGCTAAAATGCGCACCGATTTTTATTCCAGACTTCGGTTTTTCTTGTTAAAAGATGACTTTAGGCTCACCAGGAACCCCCAAAAATGTGGATGGGTTGCTGTGGC